GGTTTCGAGGAATCTCTTGTTTTATAATTGTTAAGCTTACTTCCATTTCAAGTGAAAGTGTTGGGTGAAGAGATTCGAAGGTCTGTTCCACCAGAAGACAACGGCGGATCCCTCTTGACTATCTGTCAACTGGCTTTACTGGAAGATTCATGCTGACATTGTTTCCAAGGTAATCTTCTTCGATTCCAGTAAAAAGGTGCTAAGCTTTCGTCCGCCATATGACGGACATCATCAGATCGAGGTATCATCGTCACAACAAAATTCAAGCTAACGAGTCAATAAAACTCATCGGCAAATCCCTAAAGTGTTATCTATACTCTACATCTGGCCTCTTTGATTAAGTATAAAGTGATTTGGTTGGTTAAGGTCATATGTCAACTTCGATGCATGTGAGTGTCTAGAAAGGGGGAGATAGGGGTCATCAAACCTTGATGGCCAAATACAGACGTTCTTTTTTGCTGTCCTAATTACCTTAAGCCATCACTTCGGGTTTCATGCATAAGCGAATACAAACAGGCACACTCACATGCATCGAAGTTGAAGCTTAGCGCCTTTTCACCGGAATCAAATGAGATTACCTAGGAAACAGCGGCAGCATGAATCTTCCAGTAAAGCTGATCAAGAGGAATCGGCCGTCGTCTTCTGGTGGAACCGAACTTCGAATCTCTTCACCCAACACTTTTATTCGAAATGGAAGTAAGCTCAACAAGCATAAGTTAATCAAATATGGCGAAGTTGAATTAAAGTCTATCCTCTTACATATTCGTGTGAGTAAAAATAATCGAATTCCTATTCAAGTGTTTATATTTACTGCTAAATAGCCCGAATAGTTGTAATATCGATCGAAATGGAGTCAACACTAAAGTAAAGCCAGAGTTCATGCGAAGAAGACGACTTCAAATAAACCTAAAGTATTTCCAGAAGCACCTATCCTGGTCATCTTTAAAACAAAATAAAGACAAGGAAGACTTCGATCTCAGTCCGAAGTTTGAATGCTTAAATGATGAAGCAAAGAAGTTTCATTCACTAGCCAACATAATGCAACATTGGTGGCGACTCGGCAGTACCGCAATCCACCCCATTAGAGCAACCTCTGATATTGCATTGTACCTAGTCTCGCAAGCCCGTAAAATCGACACCACGTTAGGCTTAGAATGCTCCTACCTTGAGCTGCCACCAGACGGCCGGGGTTATGACTAACTTCATAGTTGATCGAAAGAAAATACAAGTATCCACATGACGTCTTTAACCTGACATTGTCTAAGCCAGTGATTCCAAAACTGTGCGTCGCAGCGCCCCGAGGAGCCGCAGCCTCTTAACAGGGGCGCCGCGAAATATGTTAAAAGCTTCAATTTGAGAAAATGTGCAGTAATTTTCAGACTCATCCATCACATTAATTATTAAATATTAATTTAATGTTAATAAAGTAAAAAATAGTAATGAGGATACACGAATTTTATTTATTTTTATCTCTTACGAATAGTCATACTTAGGGTAGGGCGCCATGGAAAAATTTTGATTGAAAAAAGACG